TAACCCTTTTTCAGAACCGGGATCCAGTCTCCCCTCCAGCACCTTCACTATCACCCAGAGAGACTTGCTCAGCCTTCCCCTTCCTGACAACCTGCGAGCGTGGATGTTGATTGATTACCTTAGCTGGAAAAGAAAAGAAAAGGCAGAAGCAGATCTGTGAAAATATTATTTTATTTGTAGAGCTTTGCAATGAGAAAGCCTTTCAGTCATCATGCTCCAGTTTCATATCATGTGTTTGTCCAAACCACACAAGAGCCTTATGGTTCTTCAAGGAAGTCGCGCTATAGTTGCAAGCCCGACAGCAAGCCAAAGACGATAAGCCCCGAGACAAATTTCTCTGTTCTCTGCTAGACAATGAAACTTTTGAACTTTAACTTTTAGGCTGCGGATGTTGATGAAGTCCTCAGAGAGGAGGAAATGTCTTTCTGATGAAGGGCTGGAGGGCAGGGCTCCTGACCATCGCGGACCTGGCCTGGAAGACGCTTTTCATCGCAGCACTAATGGCTCTGGCTAATCAGGCCTGATTGGGGCTGCTAAATAAATACTCTCTCCATTTATAATATCATGCGTAACTTAAGACAAAATCAATACTCGAGACTGAACACTAATAGCTTGAGGCAAAACAAACGTCCCAGCTCTGGCTGCAATACATTTTTCAGAATGAATCCATCAGTGACATTGGCATGGATTTCTCATACTTCCAAATAAAGCCACGTATCTGTGGAGTTTTCATATTTCCGAAGGCTCCGAATTGGTTTGAAAGACATTCACGCATGCAAGCAGTTCAGAAACAAGCCTCGTTCTAAACTTTTAATGCCCTTATTAGGTACATTTGTTCTTTTTGTCGAGCATATATTTGAATAATATATATATTTTTTGCCTTTACATCAAATTTTCAGAAGCATTAGAAAAGAAAAAGAAACTACAGCAACACCCACAGTAATGAACTGAAAATGAAACTGCAGAGTGGAACAGTCATATTCAGCAAACAATTAGCATCAATCATCAATCATAGATGAATCAAGGTGTCTCCCCAGGAGCCAGAGCCCGATAATAAACACTGGAGTCAGACTAGACTTATGTGGGCTCGGGAATAAATAAAGTGAACGACCTCGACATCAGCAGCTAGTAAAATGTTTGGCCGTGCGGTAGAGTAGGTATGAAAGGGAGCTTTGTGTTATGAGGAATAAATACAGACAGACACAATCACATTTGAGCGAAAAGAGTTATGTCAGAAGTCTCACAGCAGCAACGTTGGAACCTGGCTTTGAAATGCGAATCACGTTAAATGTGTTTGATTTATCTTCTGCTCCACTTCTGCTTTGCCGTGTCTCTGCCGAGGTGATTGAGATACCATACACACTGTGCACCGAGTAGCTAAAGTCCATCCACATCTGGAGCTGAAACAAAGACATCGGACTTGTTTATTATGACAGACGAGGATCTCACAAAGGACAGTCGCGTGTTACGTTCATGGGGGATGTTTTCTTTATGATGTGTGTTGCCGGTTTATTTTTCCTTGCGCTCAGGTCAGGCTACTTGGCCAGTCTCCTCGCCACGTCTTTGTAGGCGGTCTCGATCTCAGTGTCAGCAGCACAGGTGTTGGTGAACTCGTCACGCGTGGAGGCGTTGTTCAGGTAGCGCCACACCCCCGACATTTCAGCTGGGATGTCGTAGTTGCGGTATTTCTTAGCAACAACCTAGGAGAGAATGCAAGGCGATAACTAAACTACCCCATTCATTCAGACTCGAGCTGATATCTTCAGCACCTTCCAGGAGGTATGTTTTTTGGATGAGGTGTTCCAGTTTGCCATTTTGAAACAAAACTAATAACATTTATGCTTTTTTTTTAGCTCGTGAATGTAAGAATTAATGCCTTTCAGCAATACTCTGTATATCGTCTGTGCTCTGCATCCAAAAGGTAAGTCAGAACCACTTCCACTGCAAAACCAATGAAGCATTAAGTAAGTCAGCTCTGCAGGAACAGGACATGCCGGTTAGATTCATTAGATACTTTCCTCCAGTGGTGAATGCTTATCTGATATATTAACCCACCGTAGAAAGGACCTGCTCTTGTTAAAAATTGTAGTTTTAGTTTAAAACAAAAAACTTTTAAAGGGAATTTGTGTTCTTACATTTTGTTGTGTCCTCCTGGACTAAAAATGGGATTTAGCAGTATAACCTTTAGCTACTAATAATTTGACATATGGATACTAAATGCCCCAAATAACAAATTCAAGATAGTTTTTTTTTTCCTTAATTAGGAAAAGAGAAAACTATTTTTTTAAGTCTAAAAATCAGATTTTTAAAAATTGTGGCTGTGGAAAATAAAGTTAAGAGCAAACCTAACTTAAACACATCTTGGGGGCAGAGTTGCTTGACATTTTCAGTCTTTTCCTTTTTTCCTTTTTACTTTCTTTTCAGATCCTGCAGGTTTCCAGAATAGATTTACTTATTTTAGTTTAGCTTTTATTAGTTCCAGTGTTAGTTTTAGTCTTTTTTTTAATCATTCATGTATTCCTGTGGCACAAAATTGAATACAAATGCAACATTTGTGGAGGGAGTTGGCTCGCAGTCATGTAGACACCCCGAGTCTCATTTGGACTGCAGGCTCCTCAGGCAGGCTGTTGACAGATTTGACCATATTGTTGACGATTTTTGACTGCATAGTTTTATTTGACTTCAATTCTTTCTTTCTTTTTAAATACACATTGTTTCAGTTAATTTTCATTTATTTATAGTCTCTAGTTTCTGTTATAACTTAAACTATAATGTACGTTGACATTTCGTTTTAGTTAACTGTAATACTGCTTGGGACCTCCCCGGGTGTTACCAGACACCAATTTAAGGCAAACACATCATCATCATCATCATCATCATCATCAAGCACATATTAGGTTTATTACCACAGCCTTTATTACTCAAATGCAGCAAAACACTGAATTCATTATCAAAATGGAGTTCAAAATCCATGTACTAAATCTGGTTTTGATATATCAAAGTGTTTATTTATCACCGGCTTTAATAGAGGAACAGCTTGATATGACAACTTCTGTGAACCTTACTGTAGACTGGAAACTTGTTTAGCCCGTGAAAATGTATGAAACTTTTTAACAAAGTCCAATATTGCAGAAACCGACCTCATAAGGTGGTTTGAACTTGGATAAACTGGTATGTGCTTTAAAGGTTACTTGGAAAAACACACGTCTAACTTTAACAGACAATAGGATCTGGATTGCTCAAGGTACCGATATGAAAATCTCATCTGAGAATAATAAGGGGCCGGTAGAGAATGATTGTTGAAGGGCAACGCAGCTGTAGAATCACCACCACTAATTACTGCCCCTCAATAATTTTCCTCTCATGCCATATTTCTTTACCTTCACTATGTAGAGTTTGGGCAGGAGGTTGCAGTCTGCCAGAGTGAACTCGTTCCCATCCAGGAAGCATCGGTTGGAGCCCTTCTCCTCCTCCATGCTGTTTGCATCGATCTCATCTGGCAATGGGTTGTTAAGGTAGTCATCCAGCTTCTTCAGGGCTTTGGTTAAACCCTTCTCTAGAGCTAAAACGCACAGATACAACACCTTTAAAAGGTGACGGAACACGTGTGGCGCTAACCTCACTAGGTGGCAGCAAAGCAAACGGCGTGAGCTCATGCCTAAAAAGTGGACTCTGCTACCACCTAGTGGAGGATTTTATGAATCACTCCCGCATGATTTCATCTTGTTCCGTTGCACATGTACATGTGTGAATGTAAATGGCATGAAATAAGCAGCCCACCAGCGTTGGCTTCTGGTTTGGTGTTCTTGATGTAGGCTGAGAACTTGGCAAAGATGTCGTTTCCAGCTGTATTGGACTCTCTGTGCTTGGCAGCCAGTCTGGGATACCTGAGTGGATGGGGGGACAGGGGCAGGAGAGGCAGTCAGAGACCCAGTCAGACCAAACCATCTGGATAGCATTAACACCTGGGCTGAAACTCAGCTCACACTCCAAACATGTTACACACTCTCACCAAGCTGGCTACTCGCCCCTTAAGCTTCTCACACTGAGGTCTGTTTATAATGTAAAAAACTTTACAGGCAATAAAATAAAGATTTAGTTAATCTGACATTTTTCTCTGCAAACGCTCACACGCTGACTCTGGTCATTTTTACTGGAATAACAACAACAAGAACCCTCTTAGGCTCTTTTACTAAAATTACCCCAATCAGATTTTGTCAATAAAGCTTTGGATGTAGAGTGTGAAAGATTTTGCATTTAGGAATTAAAAGTGCAAAAACACATACCTGGGACACTTACATTATACTGTATATCAACTCAAAATAGATTTGCAGCAGCTATAAACAGTAATCTCTGTTAACGTCAGCCTTCATCAGATCCAGCACTCTTTTACTGGACTAAAGAGTTTCCTGTTCTTTCAGCAATGCTGCTGAAGTGAAATAAATCCAGCCAAACCAGGATGTGTGTAGTTGGTGGTATAATCTGATACTTTGTTATGAAAAACCCTCTAGTTGAATTACTTTGGAGGACAGAGTGTCTCCTCAAGAAACTCTTCAATCTTGTTGACGTCTGTCTTGACCTCTCCTTCGAAGGTCAGGAAAGGAGGGTGCGTCCCTGGAGCCAGGTTGTGCAGATCTGCCGGCTTCCTGCAGAAGACACACGCGGAGAAAGCAGAATGTCGTGAGAGGCGAAGTTAGCACGTTTTGTTTTCATGTTTGCAAACTTGGCTTTTTGTAACCTCACCTCTTGAGGTCGACGGTCGTGACGTTGAACATGACTCCTTTGAGCCAGAGGATCATGAAGAGGCGCTGAGAGAAGGGACAGTTGCCGATGCTTTCTCCATCGCTGCCCGCCTGGAAGCAGACAAAGGATGAAAAGACTTACATCTTGTTTCTCTAATTCAGCTGTGGGAAGCAAGTACATGACCCTTTGGTAACAATGTAACAACCTTGCTACTAACAGGGATAAGGCACCTGTTATCTTAAGCGATAAGTGTTAACTCACTCTTTACCTGATATAGTTGTTCCAATAAGTAACATATAACATTACATAAGCACACATAAATAGGTCATTGTGACAGATGATAAGATCATGATAAGGACAGAGTCAAACTAAACCTACCGTCTGTGCACGTGTTATTATCTGATGTGAACTGCATACTTGTAGCAATCAGAATTATTGTCTGAAGGCCAAAAAAAATGCCCAACATATTTACTTTCCCAAGTGGACGAGCACGGTGAAGGAAACATCCTGTTTCTTTGTTATTATATTAATACATAACAGCTATCAGATATAACCACTTTGAACACTTAGAAGAAAAATAACCAGTGATAATTTCAATAATTATGTAAGACATGACTGGCTAATTATTACCAGTGCACTTAAGTTTAAGTAACAATACTTAAACTTTTACAGTAGGTTCAATAACGTCAGTATTTACACAGTCAGTGCAGTATACACTTACTGGATCTCCTTTCCTCTCTTCCTGTATATGCATTTATTACAGGCCATTAACACTGTGTCTTCTCTGTGCTGTCGTCTATGTTTTTGTCTCCCTGTACCTTTCTGCACACGTCTCTGTTTTCTGAAGCTACATTTTTGCACTTAGTATTTCTCTCTGGATTGTCTGTTGTGTTGTTCCCAACCGTAACCCACCCACTCGTGCCGCGTGGCTCCAGGCACCTCCTTGAGTCTGGTTAAGTCAGAGGTTTCTTCCTCCCCACTGGGGTTTGCTCACAGGGGATTGCTGTTTCACACCCTAATATTTTTAATGATAGGGTCTTGAGATGGCCACTATTCATGACAAATTAATTGAATGAACTGGATGAATTTAAAGTAGCTGTTATTTTGCAGATGCTGACCAAACGAGTGCCTGTGAGCAGTGTATCAACAGTGCCCAAGGTTGTTGATTTTTGACAGTACGCTTGTGCTTTGATCAAAAAGCTCTGAGAGAAGGTCCTTAAAAGTTAAAAACCTGGCCTGATTTACTCTTGGCCATTCTCACGTTCAAGGTCATGTTCTCAGCCACGTGCGCTATTTATAGTTTGCTCCCTGGAAGTCCCCTTCTGACCACTTAAACTGTGTGCTCTGCAGTTTCACCACAGACCTCAAATCAACTTCTGTCTCAAACTGGCGCAAAACATGTTTGGAGGATGAACTGCGGTGCTTGTCAGCAAGTTGTCTCATGCCTGCTCAGAGTGCACAGACAGCACAGGAAATTTTCTGTCTGCTCCAACACAATTTTCTTCACTACCTGGACGACACACTAGACTGAGATACCTACCGCTTTGCTCACTTCCTGTAAATAAAGATCAAGCTGAATAATCACTGTTTCGACACACTGGAGGAGATTCAATGTGCACTGCTGAGGCACAAGTGCAAGTGGAGCCTGACGAAAACTTCTGCATAGTAATCTAGAAATAGCAGCCATGCAAATTGCAGCAGCACAGATGTGTATGAGAAGATGATACTGAATGAACGAGTTAAAATGGGCATAATGTGCCAGGGTTCCATCATCTACCCGTACAGAGAAATGCAGGAGGTTTATGTGGTCCTAACGCACCACCACAACGTGCATAGTAGAGACACGAATGCAAGAGGACATCCACCGAAAGATCTAAAAAGTAGCAGGGCACATTGTCCTGATATGGGAGAGAATGTGCTGTCGAACATGAGCTAGGCCACATTTAAATCAGGTAACGGGTTTGATTTGATTCACCTGTTCACTGCTTTTCTCTTTAAACGTTGTATTTTTATTTATTTATTTTCTGATGAAGACAAAGCTACACAGAATCACTTCCTTCCTATCATATGCTTGTGTACATGCACTGATATTATGTGTCGGCATGCACGGATACTCAGAGGAGCACAAACGGTGACATCTGATCCAGTGAACCTTCTGAATTATACATGGTGATTCTGATAAGCAGGTTCATTGGCCCCTGGGGCACAGAGAGCAGCGTTCGACCTGCAGACCTGCAGACGCACACAAGCCCACAACACATAACAAATATGTGAGTGCAATGACGTCCCGGTCATTACATGACAAGTGTGACCATTGACCACATTAAAGTTATTAGAACGGCAGATGAACTTCATTGCATGCTATTTCACTATTTATGTCACTAAAAGCTTTGAATGGCCAGTATAACAAATAATTGGACACACAATCAATCCCTTCAAAAAAGAAGTTACTGCAACGACGTTAAAAAATATTTTGACATTCACCACAGACGTCCATCATCAGTAAACAGCTCCTAGCAAAGACCAGAAATAAAAGGGCCGTCAGGCTCAAAGTAGCTGAGCCAACTGTATGGACGCCAGCCATTGATGCTCTCAGTGCTGTCTGTGTATTGTTATGGCCAGGCTCAGTCGCATGGTGGTAACACAATACACTGGCCTCAAATAATCGCCAATCAACATCTAGAACACAGAGCACAAAAGCTGCCACACACAGCTAGACCACTAGGCCCGAGGAACGTGAGAGCATGGAGCTGCTGAGTGATCAGATGATGACTGTTGGGGGCTCTCACGTCATACGATCCATCACATGCTGTGTTATGCTATAACTATAACTGGGTTTTGGCGTCCTTAGTTTGCCTAAGCCTGCTTTTTAACAAAGAATTCATAAATGGGGTTCTGACATATTAACTGAAAACATTGATACTACAGTCATTCACAGAATAATACTGTAATTTCTAAAAGGCATACGAAGATTAAAACTGCTAAGATTGATCCCTCTAGTGCACGTAAGACTCCTATAACCCCCGATAGTCACCGTTTATAGGCTAATTCCTGTATGTGGGGTGGAGCATGATAGTTCTCCAGCCATCAGATCCATGTAGATCGTAGCACGATGAATAAATTATTATATTAGGATTGTAGTCACTCTTTATATATATATTAATACAATTTGTGTTTCATTAAGATTTATTGAAAGAAAATGACAGTTTAGAAACTAAATCAAAGATAAAGGCCTAAAAGTTAATTAGTTGACCTCCGAAGTGCCTGCAGAAAGTCAGACGTCTCACCAGCTAATTAGAACTGTGCATCCAGGCAGCACGTTAGCTTTTCCACCTGCCTCAGGTGTATCCATCTGCCTGTGTGATTCCTCAGCGGACCTGAAGTAAAGCTTTTTATAGAGAACAAAACACCACTGCTGTGTCCACTGATGGTACCACCTTCAAACTGTTGTCATTTTTTTCCCACTTTATTATTACCTGTTTCAAAGTTTCCATCCTACATGCCATCTTATATAAAACATCTTTTTTAAAGGTCCTTGAACAAGCAAGCCTCACCACTTGAAATTCTTCCAGAGATCTATTTGGGTAGTTGTCTGCGTTAACGTTCATTTTCATTTGTTACTGGAACATAGAAACTTCAGGTATAGCATTATAAGTCAAGTCTTTAAAAGGTACTTTAAAAGTTTGCCCCCAAAAAACAAAGATCATAAAAGTTGTTCATCCCCTGGAAGTCATGTTTCTACCAACATCTTTGCTGCTGCTGAATACTGCAGATTTCAACTCAGGAATGCAATGTCTGTTTTACATCTGAGACATTAGACAGATTCTCAAGACTGATTGCATAGCACAGTCCTCCCTGAAAAAGTGTGGACTGAAGTAACAGTACCACTGCATGGCCTGATGTGAGCTTCTCACCATCAACAAGCAGCTTCGGTATCACTGTCACAACCATCCTGGGTCGGGGTGCTTGCTGGTGCTGCTGTAACTCTACCTCCGCTATTGGGTTACGCAACTGCTCCATAACACGCAGCGATGCTCATTTGAGAAATTCAGGCAATACTTGGTCCCTCAAAATTTATCAAAACCTCAATGCAGCCATAGTTTTGTGTCTAGCTTACCTTTACAAAAAGTTCAATATCAGGGTCTCTGTCTTCATCAGACATGATTCCTTTTTCTTTTACTTTTTAAAAAAAAAAATTTATCCTTGGAGCTCTACATCTTCTGGAAAGACAAAAAAAAGGAGGAGAAACTCTTATCTTCTCTGAGGTTATCCTCTCTCACACCTAAGGAAGTTCTGTTCCCTTCACCTTCACCACTGTTTGCAGCTGTAAAGGCAGTTTTCTGCTCCGTTTGTGTCTCCTGGGTGAGGCTGAAAGTCGGTCCAGGTGATAGTCACAGCCCTGTGCTCTGATTTAGACACAGATGGAGGGCAGCATTAGATGTCACTGACACAAAGTGGAAAACAGGTGTCAGTCTATAGCAGAGGGGGTGGAGCCCCGTGTCTCTCTTCCCACCACTGCAACCAAACCTGACATCAAAATCGCATCACAGGCAGCACTTACTCCCTTATCTCTCTGCCCCACAGCTGACACATTCTTATTTTTCAATATTTTCCACTATTACATGTTTTATTGTATTATTTTTTGCCAAACTGATGAAACACTTCCTGAACACCCAAACCATCAATAATATATTCTCCCCATCTGACAACATTGCCAAAAATGGGACACTATTTGCGTCACTTTGAGTTTCTGAGGCTGTCAGTCCATCACTTACCGAGTAGTTGTGCAGCAGCATTTATATTTAATTCATGTTCACATGTGTTTGACTCTGGCAGGTTATATTTGATCACCAGCAGCAGACTAGAGAAGATTCCTCTCTAAATTATTGATGCACGGCTGCGGTTTTAAGGCAAAAATTTGCATTTGTTTGCAGAAAGAGGCCACAAAAATAATTTTTAAAAAAGCAGGTACATTTGACACATGGAAACTGAGTAGTGTGTGTGTGTGTGTGGGGCTTATGAGAGATAGATCCGAGAAAGAAAGTTTGATGAAAACAGCAAAGAGGAGACAGATGGCTCGGCTGGAGAGAAACGTTTTAACTGTTTCTATTTATAGAGCAGCTCCCTCTCCTGGCTGGTGTACCAACTTGCAGCACAAACCAATTAAAAGGGAGCTGCAGAGGAAGAAGGTGCTCATTATCAGAGTTCAGGATGGAAAATCTTGAACAGTGTCTGAATGTGTTATTTTAGGTCTTAGTTAGTTTATTTGCAAAGTTACTGAGTGAACAGCACCAAAATGAGGGAGGACTATCCATAATAACGAGCTGAGGATACCAAAAATATGTCACAACTGGATTTATATTCATTTAAAAAAAAATAATAATAAATAAATAATAATAATAATAATAAAGTCTAGATGAGAAGATTTCTTCAAATTTCCACCACCAAGACTCTTATCACCTGTAGCTTGTAATTCTTTCAACAAATGGACTTAAACATGGACAAAGGAGGTTAGTGCTGAATCACACTAACGGTTTCCCCTTTTTTCCAGCCTCACATTCAGTGTGCAGTCACAGAAACTGTACAGTTTTTAATCTAACTCGAGTAAAAGTATCGACCAGAATGTCTTCTTTTCTTGTCATGGATTTCTAAATCAGTAATTTAAATCAATAATAATGGGACCATTAGTGGTTTCTAAGATATGGCCTTGGCGTTTCGATCCCTTTGAAACAAAGGGAAGTTCAAATCAGTGACTCGCTGGGCTAATCATTCACCATAAACATCAAACGGTTACAGAGAATTGTCTCTTTCCGGAACTGAGGTGACGGGGAGTATGTGAACAGCGTATACGCACGAGCCAGAACTGCTAAAGAGTCTTGGACAGTTGCAGTTATGTGAAAAGGTCTTATCGCACAAAAACAGTGACAGAGCCAGTAAAAGTGCACGTTAGCGATACTGTTGATAGCCTAGGGCAGCCCACTTTATCTGACTGTGGAGGTTTCATTTTAAATTTTCCCCTCAGAGACGTGACCTCATAACTCACCTTCCTACTTTTATGATGGAGCTCGTGTTAAGTTTATGGCCATTGTTGATGATTAAACTGTTGGGAAACGCACCCACGGAAAGACACATAAAGGATAGAGGGTGGGGTGTTTTTCTTGAAGGGGCTGAGGATGTTATCACGTCTGTCGTCTCCTACGGTCTTCGGGGGTGAACTATCCTGCATATTTATCATAATTGTGATATAATGTAGTTTTGTACACCGATTGTGTTAAGTGTGTAGACTGCGATGAGCTTTCAGATCCTGCCAATGTCGTTCCAGCTCACCGAGGAAGGAGGAGCAGCTCAGACAAAAACTGTGCACTCTGAACTAGATGCAATTTTTTTTTTGTAGGGTTCTTGAAATGTGTTTTTTTTTTAAAAGACAAAACATTATTATTCTTGAAAAGCTGTCTGGTGTTTTCTATTCTCCTTGTCATAATCACCTTTTTGGTTTTATGGTGGAGTAAACAGGGAAACAGGAAACGTGTGGGCGAGGAAGATTATGATATGTAACACAGCTGGAATCAAACTCATTCACCGTCTCACCCAACAATGCTTCACGCTACAGGGAGACAAGGCAATTTAAAATAAAATAAAAAAACAAAACAGCCTGTTGCCATTACCCATTTCATGACTTTCACTGACTTGATGCCAGCAGCCTAATCAGCAAAGTGACCCCTGCATTAACTGATAGTACACTCACCAGAGCAGGTATCACCAAAAAGCAACAAAACACACAGACGGATTTGCTCAAGCGTAGAGTTCACCCCTGGTTCCTGTGACCTTAACGCGAACAAGTTAATTATTACAGCAGAGTGATTAAAGTCACACACAAAGATTTGGATACAAAGAAATCTCTGCTTATGCACTACTCTTTTAAACATGCATTGTTCTTCTAAATATACACAGCTTAGTAACACTTATATTTAAATATAACTATTTAGACTTAACTAGTAACCACATGGAAGTCTAATGAGGTGAATTATCATTTCTATAATATAATATAATATAATATAATATAATATAATATAATATAATATAATATGCACAGGAGCAAATGATGAGAGTCTCTTCAAAAGGATGCGCTACTTGGCCTCAGTGAAATTCCACGCGCCTGAAGGCTCATGCTGAACCCTGAGGCTGTGGATTGTTGATGCCTGGATTAACCCTGCAGAGCTCGTTTTATATAGTATAGCATATGTCTCACCTTAATGTACAGGGCGATGTTAGGCTGGTTGGGATCAGCTGGCGCAGAGCTGCTTTCATCCAAAGAGACACTTTCCCGAGTTTTAAGGGTGTAGTCGACAGACTCCTGCGGCTCGGGGTCAGTTTTAGGGCGGCTGTAGGCCATCATCATCCCATCCTCGGCGTTATCCTCTTCCTGGATCTTCCTCTGAAACGGCGGGTCGTCGCAAGGATCTCCGGGTGAGGCGGATGAATCTGAGGAGGAGGATGAGCGCCTGGATCCGTTGTGCGCCTCGCCGCTCACCTCCTGCACCTGTGCCTCCACTTCCACCGCAGGCTGGGGCTCCACTTTTTCCTTTCTCGCTTTAGCGTCCTCGTCGTCGCTGGATGAAGAAGAGGAGTCGCTGTGTTTGCCCCCTTCCCTGATCTCCATGTAATCCGGGGAGCTGCGGTCTTCCTCCTGAGACGGCCTGTGGACCAGCACCTCGCTGTACAGCTGCTCCCTCGCCTCACCCGAGTTCTCATATTTGGGCTCGGCGCGATCGCGTCCTGCGGGCACATCTTCGTGATCTAGTGTTTCGTAGATGTTGTCCATGTCTGGCAGCAGACCTTGAAGTTGAAAGTGGAGGAGTAGTGCTGGAGTGGTCAGTGTTTTCACACCGTGTGCCTGCCTCTGACTGAGCGCACTGAGCAAATTCCAGTGATAACTTATAAAAGACCTTTGATCCTGCAAGTTAACGAGTGGATAGCGTAAAAGCGGAGCACTTTGCCCCTTCACAGATATTCCGGTTTTAAATGTGATGGCTTGCAAGGACAGAGAGCAGCACATAAACACCGAAAACCTTTCAGAACTTTAAATCAGAACACGATGACTTAATCTTCTGGGACCTTTGCAAGGTTGACAAGCTGTAGAGCCCTTGTGCATTTTCTAGACTTGCTTAAAATCTGTGTAAATGCACCTTGCCAGGTTTCCTCCACCAGTAAGATAGAAAAGAGGGGGATAGTGGGTACTGTAATGATTATAAGATGACAGAGGTGCAAGCTTTGTTTGTGGCCAGTAACTTAGAAACACACATCCACTGGATGGGTGCAAAAAAGAGGGCTTAAAATTTCAGACATTCAAATGTATTTTAATGAGTTTTCCAGTTTTTCTGTATTTATTTCTTGCAGTTTCAGCTCAAACGGTGATGCCGACACGTGTCTTTCATTTACTGCACCAGCATTTCTTTGTCATGTGGAATGACTGAGACATACTGTCGTCTTTTTATTACATTCAGGGATTAAATGTGTAATTAAACCTCTTTATACTGACAGAAAGGGGAGTTCCACCGGTCACCCACTTAGGATTAAAGTGTGCTGTATGTGCCCCTTGATATAAAATGAGTTTGACATCTATTAGATGTTATCTTCACCCATTGGAAAATACAGGAAGGAAGTTTTGTTAAGGCAAAGAGTCTGTGTTACTTGCTGAGGTGAATCTGTGTTATTGATGAACAATAAAACCCAACTTTAAAAGGTTAAAAGATGGCAACAGTGCTAACCACCGTGCTGCTCTTATTTATTTTTTGTTCCTTAAATGCATCACACTTTACAGTATTTAGCTGCATTTCTGAAGAATGACAGATTACTACAAAATTTACATTTTTGTGGACTAAGAGAAAAAATGTAAAGATCTGGGCCTCGAACACAAGGGTTAAAAAAATAATAATAATCATCAACAAACACAGTTATTTTCACATTAGTCCCTTTATTTCCAGAAGACTCATTATTTGCTTCAATATGGCAAAGATAGTTAATTTGTAAATGATATTAAATATCCACGATTTTAATCCAAGGTAGTAACAAACTGAGATCAGCTTCATCTAATATTCTTTCTTTTCTTAAAAACTTCAAATAAATCGTTTTTGGAATATAGCATGGATACATTTCACTTCTCTGTCAACAAGTTAGGGGAAAATTATCAGACAACACTTTTCCGTCATAAAACAATACAATTCTCAGAAAATTAACAATTTCATATAAATGCTCTCAATTTATGAATTTAAATTTTGTAAAAAGTATATATCACAGTGATGTCTGTCATTTTCGGGCACGGGTAAAGTCAGTGCGTCGAAAAGCAAAAAGGAGAAAATTTAAATTGAACCAATTCTTTCTTAAAAGACGCTGGAAAAAAAATGATAGTTTTTAATCTGCAGATTATAATTCTAGTCTTCTACCTCTCTCTCCGATTATGCTACTTAAAAAGCTTTTAAGCAAGAGGCACCTATCTTTTTTCGTCATTTCAAACAGCAACTACAAACTAGAAGTGCAAATTATACATGACCTAGAAGCTTCCAGCTACTGCCCCTTCATTCAGTTTCATTTCAATCCTGTAGTGCAAATTACGGGAACAGCTCTCGCAAGTCATGCTCGAAATAGTCTTCTCAACCAAACAGAACCCTTAAAACTCCTAACACAAATACTGACCAATAGCAATTGCACTTCACATTTCACCAACAAATGACCATGGTAATGACAGCAGACATATGAATGGAAGGGCACTGCACAATCATCTTACACTGGAAGAAAAAAAAAGCCCTCCTGACACACACACAAAAAAAGGACAGACGCACAAACAACTGCACACGTTCGAGAGATGTTCTCGGTTAAGTTCAAAGGCAAATGGTAACTGACTACTGAAGTGATTAGCTCATGGAACGACCTACACGTATGAGCAGTAGCTTGGCACGAAGAGTGAGACTTTAGTGGTTCCGGTTAACATTCAGAAGTAACACTGACCACAGTCAAGTGCTTAAAACGAACAGTTTGGAATACTTTAGATTAATCACAGCATTTGTAGTTCAAAGTAACATCTTATTCAGTGCTCAGACCACAAGAAGAACAGGTGGTGGCGAAAAAAAAAATCTCACCAGATCCCTTTTTCACTTTATGACATACAAATCTGTTTTGCATAGATTTGAAAATGTCAAAGCAAACGGACTGAAGACGACTCTCACTGTCAGGATGAGAAAGGTGTCAGTAGGCTTTCCAAAAAGTTACTCGTTTGACCTTCTGTGCTCATGGCACAGCTTCCCAACAAGCTAATGAGTGTAACATTATAAATTCCATCAAGGTAAGATTGTCTGAAGGTACGCACCATTACAAGATTTTTACACCCCACCTTGGAAAAGAACAGCTTTAGTGGGATTTGAGCATACTGATACCTCGATATCATCCGTGTCACAGGCTTGGCCACCAAAAGCTCACCCTTTTACAATCACAGGCTCAAACTTCACGTATACTTTTGTATCTTTACTCATAAAGTGACAATGAAAATGTTAGACGCTATTAGGTAGAATTCACAATCAAAGCAAAGCCACTAAGAAACCCATTATTCTGAATAAACCCAAACCAGAAGCACGCCCGGGACGTTTCCCTTACACCAGACGTACCCCTACGCACGAGTGGGAGGGTACATTTCCTTGATCTTCAGTGAATAACAAGAGCAGCACAACGGCATTTAGTGATGTAAGGGAGGCATTCAGGGGATGCTTCTGGATGTGGGAGTACCTTGGGAGGAGGAATACCTCCTCTTCTTTTACGTCTGCCTCTCTTTCCGCTCTCAAGCTACAGGTGCAAATCCTCTTGCAGTAAAGGCTGCGACATCTCCCAGCTCCTGTGCTTTCTCGAGGGCCGCTGTTTGAGTGTCACTAGTATGACGTAGACCACTAGGAAGCCCAGCACCAAAACCACACCGAGGAACGAGCCCACGATGGGGGCGCAGGAGTACCCGGTGCCCGGAGGGGAAACGGGAGGGTGAGGCGGGACTGGCGTGGTCACAGTGGGCTCTATGGACAGGAGGTCCTGAACATTCGAGAGGGAGCCGTTGTTCGGCATAGGGCGGATGGACAGGATGTGGCACATGAGAGGGTAAAGGTCAACGGAGCGCATGGAGGATTTGACGTAATTCTCACGAAAGGCCGGCCCACGAGCCACGAACACAGGCTGCATGCTACGTAAGCTGTTGTTATAGCCATGGTTTCCCACTGGAGATGAAAAAAAAGACAAAACATTTGCATAAGAAGGTGGAAATCTTTGATGTAAATTATTATTCTGTTGCTAATAGACCTTTTATACATCTATATCTGGTTTTCACATCCCATAAATCACAGACCGCTCGTTTTGTTTCCAGATTTATGGGACCTGGCGCCGCAGCTCTACCTGATGATTTACTGCCAAAGCGACTTGCCTCAGCAGACGGGATAAGGCTAAATCAATCACAGCACAGCCCAAACAAAAACTGAAAATGAAATCACAAAACACAAAGACCTTACATGAAAGCTTAGACAGGCTAACAGCCGCTCCTCAAATTTATCAGTGCTATTACATCCAGAAGATCTGACGTGATTCTCTCAGCGCGCTGTGAGTAAAAATCAATACACTCTATCAGCGCTGCTGCGACGGCAGCTTCAGAGGGTTTAACGGCCATTCGAGCAGGTCCAGGGTCTGCCATAAATCTTACCTTAAAGATACCCTGCGGAGATTTCCGATCCCCAACGTTGCCTGCTCGACATTTCTTTCCTCTATATTTTTGTTTTGTAAACATGCACAACTACACACACGTGCGCGCGCATGCAAGAACATTAGCAATTCTACCAGTGCTGTAATCCCATTCCACTGATCGATGTCGCAAGGAATGAGCACAGAAGTGCAGCAATCAGCCGGCGGAGGCAGGGAAGAAGAATGCTGCTAGCAACTAAATATGGATGTATAAAATGTCTCCCACTGCAGCATCTAATAAAGGCAAATGCCAAATAAATAGAGACAGACATATAATGGAATACCAAGAAACGCAGAGCACATTTTCTTTCAATTGATGTAAACAAAGAAGAATGACTGGGTTTGTGGAGCTGCAGTGTTATTTGTATTGCATTACTCCGCAGCGCTCTGTGATGCACTGAGAAACAGAAGGGGCCACTGCTGCACGGGAAGAGACATGTTTTAGTCATGAATGCATATCGCTCCCTCTCAAAAACTTTGTTATAGCAGGAAAGCATCATAATACACACATGTGTATCTAAGCAGTCTCACATCGCTTTGTCCCTGAAGACTGAAAGTCTGCTAGTTTTCTTTCCAGCTGCAGGCTCCACCTGGTCATTTCACTCATTAACAAGCCTTCAGGCAGCGAGGAGGAATTAAGCAGTGACATTAGCTGGTGAAAAGACACTCTGCCTCCATGACACATGGGTCTGAACGCTCTAATCTGAGGAGGTGATGCTCAGTAGGTTTTGTATTAGGAAAAAATGATTGCACTTAGAGTTAATGCAATAAAAGCCTCCAAACCCATCCATACACACACACACACACACACACACACACTTTTTAACTCAAACACACTCTTGCTGGTCCTAAGGGAAAGCATATCCAGCTTTCTTTGTTAATTACAGCTGTTCTAAACCAAGCGCTGGTTCAGTGACTGAAATAAACCTTCTGTGAAGCTATTATTAGAGCAGAAAAAGGCTGCTGCCAAAACAAACTGACAAAACCTGTTTAATGTGCACAGTAACGACTCAGCAGAGCTTTGTGATGTGCAAAAACGTACGCATGAAGGGTCCGGTCCTGTTCTGCATGATGGTCCAGCCTTCTTTGGCCTCTATGAGGATGGGCATGATCCTTGTGTTGTGCTGATAATGGTAGTGCTGGGGAATCTCCTCCTTCTTGTACACCACCATGTTCGGGTTTGCATCCACCAGCAGATTATACACCTCGTTGAGTTTCCCTGAAGGACACATAACGAGCGGTAGCAGAAAATCTTTATAGAGGCTGCAAATTCTGATTTATGAACGGCGGCTCATGAGGAACAAAAGTTCAATACTTTAGAGATTAACTGAAAAGCAGCAACTGTATATAAAAGACGGACATAGCCTACAGTTACAGACAGGATGAATATAAGATGACTATAGTTTCTAGGTCAGAAAAATTGAGCAAGTGCAGAAATGCCTTAAGCCTCCATTCTATATGAAGGCCACCAGATGGCGATCACTTCCGGTCCTGTAGAAGTCTATAGGGAAAAATGGCCCAGTCACTGGTTTTGGATCAAATTTAATAAAAATTAAGTTTGTGATGTAAACCTTGGTCATCATGGAGGATTGTCTGTGGTATGAACTGTTAACTAAACTGATAATGTTTAGGTCAGTCCTGCACATCCACTTTCCCTTTTTTGGCCAGATAAAGTTCATTTACAGCTGCAGCTTCATATTTAATATACAAGCATGATGGTGGTGAAGAGGAAAGTGAATGAATTTCCAAAAACATTACTGTTTATACCTTCGTTGGGCAGGATTCCCACCACTGGACTCTTATCCACCCAGGTGTACAGGTCTCTGCTCACATACTCGTCCAGTTCTATGATCTTCTCAGGAGAAAGCTGAGCCATCCCATGGTCACTGGTCACTATGAGGTTCACTCTGTCATACAACCCTGCCTCCTTTAGCTTGTTTATAAGGAAGCCGAGCTTCTCATCAATCCACGCGATGACTACGTCCATTAAGGAACTCTGAGGTCCAAGGTTGTGCCCGCTCTCGTCAGGCTCCTCCCAGTACAGAACTCCAAAGTCCACCGCCTCAGCTTCTGGTGCAGAGAACC